TTGGCCAAACAAATTAGTGTGGTAGGCAATTTTGGAAGCCAGCTGTTTGCTCATGTAGGCAACTACTTATGGCTTCTTAAAAATTATAGACGATGAGCTGCATAAATATTTCTCTTGGATAAAATTAACAGTCTTTGCTGCCAGGTAACTTTTTCCCCCCAAAACATGCAGTAGCATATTGACCAAAGACTATTTTTTCACCTCACAACTTATTAGTTAAAATGAGGCTTTCATAATGATGATTAATGAAAATCCCAGAAATCTTGCGAGTCAACAGCAATGCGTGGGAGCTCTGGATCTGGCCAGATGGAGCACCTATCTTCTTTTATGCAGGGAGAAGGAAGACAGGGTCTGGCTTTCCTGCCCCACTAAAACACTAGGATGAATTATTAACGGATCAAACCGTCTGACAGCAGTTAGAGGAGAGTAAGGTGATAAGAACAGTCAAAACAGATTTGCTCAGTGCAGATTGGTGTGACTACTTTCACTATTGGGGTGGCAGCTGAGTTGATAGAAAGAAAATGAAAAACATGATAGATTTTGACTTCAGTCAGCCTTTTGACACAGTTCCACATGACATTTTGTATTTGTGCATATGATTTTTTCCTTCCCAAAGTGGGTACCTTTCCTTGCTGAATTTCATCTTACCGATTTCAGGCCACATGTCCAATTTCTTATGATTTTCTACAGTTTTTTCAAATACTTTTGAGTTTCTCCCTTTGGAGACTTTGGATGACACAGTCAGTTATAAAAGGCTCTTTGTTACCTCTACCATATTATTAATGGATATTTTTATAATTAATTGATCCAGGGCAAACCACCACAGTATCTCACTTGATATTTCTTTGTATGACAGTGAAGTGTTGATTGCTGCTCCCTAAGAAGTTTTGCAGGGAGCCAACCATCCAGCCCACAGCTACTGTACCTTATACTCTCCAATCTCAACATGAGGGACTTTCTCATATGATACGTAAACTGTGAAATTCACTGCTTTATGTATCTGTGGTTTCTAAAAACATACAAAAGATGAAAAGTAACTAGACAAATTCAAAGAAAAAATTCTTATCAAGGCAATTGGAAGACTAAGATATTACCTTCTAATTCTGGTACTCCTTGAGCAACAGCTTGTCAGGGTGAGGGGAGCAAAAGGGGAAAATGCCATGTTTGACCCATTCTTGTACTCTTCCCTACTTACAGCCTATTGGGGATTATGGGTAGGTGAAGGCTGATTCTGACCTAGTGCGAACAATGTCACATGGGACTGCATTGAAAGTCTTACTAAAAATCAAATTATAGCAAAACTTCCTAAGAACCCTTGAGCTGAAAGTATTTGTCACCCCATTTTTTTCCACTGGCTGTCACCGCAATGTATTTCTTCCTGTTCTGACCCCAGGAGAGCCACAGGGTTTCAACGGAGATATCTTGCATTACCCTTTGGATGCCATGGAGGAAATGTGTTAGGGATGAGGACACTTACTGAAGTGTCTGGAGCTCCCTTGTTTCAGGATGTGCCACACCCTAAGCAGGGAATCCCTTCTTGTATGCTACCGTCTATTAACGTTTAAAGAAACACAGAAGTCTGAGAGCCCCTTTTCATGACATCCCAAAGCAGAATTCATCATCTCACCTAAGAAAGCTGGCTTCCTTGATTTCTGTGTGATACTGCAAATGATTTCCTATATTCTTTTCTGGTCTACTACTGAATTATATTTTAACCAATTCCAGGCTTCACACGGCTTTCCTCTGTCACAAGCTTTGGAAGGCACATTAGTAACACCTTGATGCATCACCTTATGGGAGATGCTCAAGGTGTAATCTTAATATAGCCATAGCTAATCTTTTTCTGTGAACATTATATAAGGACCAAATCTGGTGCCACAGATGGCAAAATTGGGCACGGGAGGCTTAATTTGAATAACATTCCCTTTTGTTCTATGCTGGTTTCATGGAGCAAGAGGGGGAAGAACCTTTTCACACGCTTACTTCTGTCTCCCTTTCCATTCAGCCTGTTGCTTTGCCAATAAGAAGCCCTGGCAAATTGTTCTTTCTGTCTTCTAAGAGTAAGTCAACAACTAAATTAAATTAACCTCAGATACTAAAAATTACAGAAAAGCCACACTAACCAATCTTACTAAAGAATAACTAAGTTTGTGGAGTCCCCTTACTGTAGACTTTAAAGAACAGACTTCTAATAAACACGTATTTACCAGGGAGTTATTTATGTATAGTCCATCCTGCTTTAAAGCATGGCATCAGGTGAGGTAACTTACTGCTGTGACACGTCTATGAGTAGGAAATCTATTTAGTATTGCATTCCAGAGGATATCAAACTTCTTCAAAAGCAAATAGAAATTAATGGGCCCTCTCATTAACAAGTAGCTTGTCTAGCCAGTCCTCTAAACTGAATCTGTGTGCAGTACAATGGGTGGAGAAGTCTACAGTTAACCAAAAAACATACAGAAAGTTTCTATTGCTCCCCAGGGAGAAGCCAGGGCACCAAGTATGCAATGCTGCAACACAAGAATTTCATGAAGTAAACTAAGAAGTGATGGTGTAAGCAGGAGTTGCAGCCAAATTATATAAATGACAGGAAAACAACGATGCACATGTTTCATTTTTCAATGTCTTGTTTATGTGGCTTTTGCTCCAGAGAAGAGGGATGGAGCTGTAGGCAAAGCATGCTACTAGCAGGCATATCAAATGAGCTGAGGCAACACAGAGCTACAAAAAAGATGGGATGCTGTTTGCCCTTCCTCAAGGAACACATCAAGATTGTTACTATTAATGCTGATGCTCCCAGGAGACACATTAAAGGCAGACTTTCAAAATTTTCCACAGTTTGAATGATATTTTATCTCCTAAATATTACTTTGCTTCTCTGTGAAATGTATCTATTTCAATCTTTTCCTTTAGCATTCATAAGGGGATCATCAATGGATGAACCCCAGGTATTCTTACTGAGGCACAGAGTCTCATGACCACCTAACATACGTATAATGATCAGAGATGGTACATGATTCCAGTTACTGATAGGAATATCTACTGAGATCCTGGAATTTACTGTTAGTAAAATTGGGTTTCTGCTAGCAAGCATAATACATTAAAAAAATACCAGGAAAATTAAGTTCTCCCCTTGCTCTCTTCTGCTTCTTCCTTTCTTCCCTCTAATACATAAGACATATGCACCTGACTTAATATTTAATGCTGTCAAATACATTTAAAAAAAAAAGGCAAAAAGAGCAGCTGAGAGGTTCAGAGTCAGAGGAAATCACCCCATCCTTAGTTCTAGGCATGAGAAAAATTTAGAGGAATTTACTTTTAGAAATGAGAAGCTGCAAAACCTTCAACTGAAGAATCATGTTGTTGTTCCTTTAAACAGCAGCAATGAAACATTTATGAAGATTGCTGAAATAAAATTAAGGCTACAAAGCAGCATTTCTCTTGAACTGAAAGAGCAAACTTGAAGGGAGGAGAGATATTAATACACGAGCATTTCCAGAGGCACAGCAAGTAGCTTAAACAGAAAAAGTATTACAAACACTCCTTTTGGGCATAAAAAAAGTTACCACACATACCAGGAACCAAAGCAGACACATCCACCTCGTTATGTATGAAGAGCGTGCTCTGGATAAGCCCCGCGAACTGGTAGCACAGAAGGAACTGAAAAGATGACAGACCCTATTTATAGAATGGCTTTAATATCATGGAATCATCTCCATGTAATTTTCATCCGTTTCCACAAGAGAGAGGTGTATTCTTCACTTAAATCGCTGGTAGAATTATCATTATTATTTTTACCTATATCTTAAACAAAGAAGCATTTCTGCAGTATCACAAAGAAGAAATTGTAAGAGGTAGGGATTTCCATACTTCACTATTTCCACCTATTAAAAAGAACAACCCTTAAATTAAAAAAAAATAAAAGATGGTTTACCCCAAAATAGATTTGTGGAAATTCACAAAGATCAAAAGAAGACCTCTGTGACCTTTGAGTGTCCTTATGTCCTAGACTATAAGAAAATATACTTGATAGCTGGATTTAGTTTAACATCTTATAGGTCATAAGCAGTTGCTCTGCCACTGGAAAAGACTTTTTTACCAAAATCATTCTTATGACATTTAAAAATGCTTCTGTGGTGTGCCCAGTCTTGTGCAAATACAGTTGGTATAGAATATATGAAGAAAAAAAAAAAATCTAAGAAAGAGTATTTGCTTGTTTGCAACTTTTCATTCCAAAGACCTCTCCATTGTTTCTGATTTATTGCAGTGCAAACAGAAACGTATTTCCTTTAGCAAATAATTGTGTATTCACCTACTAAGACTTTCAGGTTGGCTTGCTCATTTAGTGTATATTTTTTCCCCATCTTTTCCAGTTTGAAATAGCAAAGAAAATAATGTGCATGGATAGTTTTTTCTCTTAACATCTTCTTCTACGTTCAGTGCATAGCAGAGGTACACAACCTGCTTAAGAGTGCTATGAAAGGATGCTTGCTTGCCCTCGGTGAATGAGATAGCAGAATGGGACAACCTTGCTCTAGTGGCTGGCTTGCTTCTCCAATGAGCTGAGTTACAAACATTTACTCCCATATTTTTAAATGACTTCCCAGCAGGTACAGAAGAAGGCTCTGAGATGCGAATAAACTGCTACCAGGTAAAGTCATCCTACCAGGTGAAATCATTTATGAGTCATCACTTAATATACTTTGGGCCTTGTTGTTCCTGCCTTCTTGCTCTTCATTCATACAAAGCACCTCAGGATACATCAACTTTCTGTGCTCCTTTTATACAACTAAAACTAGAGAGCATCTTCTTAAAACAAAATTCCCAAGCCACAAAACCAGGTTTAGGATTAAACCTAAAAATAACATTTTCAATTGCTTTATCAGCCATTACATTTAATCCTCAATATACTATTCTGCTTATATTTTAACCTGTATAAGGAAATAAAATCAGTAACATAAATATCAAGAACATTAATGGATTTTTATAACCATACTTACAGAAAAAACAGCAGCCACAGTCTCAACAGCACCAGTACTTAGGGTAACATAGGGGATTGTTTCATGATCGATCCCAGCTTCGCTAAAGATGCTGTTTGTGTAGTACCAGATCTGTATCAGAGAGAAGAAAATGAGTTATTAATTATTATGGCTTGAACTACAATATACTGGTGTTCAGTTCGAGCATCTGATCTGCCAGAGACCAGACTTGTTAAAAAACTGAGCACTCCCAAATGACCAAGGGCTGGGCAGGACAACAAATGAAGGGAAGGTGCAAACCTCAGGTGCATTAGTCACAACACAGCTGTACTGCTTGCAGACCCAGGCAGAATTACAAGCAGCTTTAACTCAATTTACCTTAATTCACTTAGGAGTAAATCAAAGAAACTCACTTTAAGCTTGAACAAGAGGATACAAATAGATTTCATGTGGCTGAGCTACACTGGTTAAAAAGCAGCTTTGGGTGGCTTTACGGAATACTTCAATGGTAGGTAACAAAAGAGGAGAGAACAGGAAAGAGATGCTGAGAGGCACTGCAGAACCTGCTCCTTTTTGGACAGAAGGTGTGAGATTTATCTCACTTTAACCTCACTGCAGCATGGACATCTGCAGTCAAGCCATCACCCTAATCTCTCTTTATTATCAGCAGAAAGAAAAGATACTTTTAGAGTGAGAGTTGCTTGGTGAAAAGCAAAAGAGCTGCTTTTAGGATGAAATGAATCATTGGCCAGAAGGAGCTGTCACTACTGGAGAGAAACACAGAGAGTATGGGGCTACCAGCTTAGACGAAGACTTTTGTGTTTGGTCAGTAAAACCGTATGCAGTGGTGATGATATCCAGAGAGACTATATAGTGGTAATACTTTAAAATAACAAGTCTGGTAAGTATCAAAGCCCCACTCACATCACAGATGAAGTCTGAAAACCATACCATTGGACTCAAGGTGACAATAAAGAACTAGCCAATGATTTTGGCTGCCCAAAGGACGCAACAAGTAGAGACTGCCTTGGAGAGAGAAAAGCCAACTGATTTACTACAGAAGATGAAAAACAATTGAAACAACTGATTATCTGAAGAAAATAAAGTTCTAAACTACAGCTGATTACCTGTGACAACAAAACTGAAAGCCAGAGATAATAATGGCACTAAGCATAAAAGTAGCAGTGATATTTTTTTCCCCATATGCTGTCCATGTGACTAGCCCTAACAGGGCAAGCACAGCTAAAGAAAAGACTTGTCTGATGAATGGAAGCGTTTTGATCTCATGGAGAAAGCCCTGCTGCGTGCCAGTGTATTATGCACATGCTGCATCTGTTCATCAAGCTACTAACTCATCAGCTTTGTAAAAAAAAAAAAAAAAAAAGTAATTCTAAATTCCCAACTAGCCCTTCAGCAAAGCGGCTTGTCCCAGACCGAAGAGAAAAATCCAACTCATCTTACATAAACCAAAAGTAAAATAAAATACCAAGTACTAAGAAGTCAGCTATAACACCTTGCAGATAAAGAAAAGCTGACTGAAGACTTTTATGCCTCCTGCTGGCACCTTGGCTCTCACCAGAATAGACGCAGTGACAGTAAGCGATAGAAGCAAACTTCTCTGTATGAAGTAATCCTCCTTCACGCAGCGTGCGCTGGTGTTAACTGTGCATTTCATTAGCCTTGCTGATACAGAGCACACACTGAAGCAAAACCAAGGATCAGCTCCCAATTCCCACTGAAATGTTTATGCCCACTGATAAATTTTTGGGGACCCAGTACTCTGACAACCTATTCACATCCCATACTCCTATCCAGTATATAGGAACTCAAGGTAGCACAAAACCATGACAAAAGTAATATACGACAAGTTACAAGATTGAAAATTTCATGCAATGAAAGTTAGAAACCATGTAATTTAGGTGTTTCATTCTTAATATCAGTTTTACATAGCAGGTAGAGCTTCTAAAAACGATGGTGATATTGCAGGTATGCAGACCTTGAAAGAGAAGAAAGAGGCCAAAGCGCCTCTTAATCAGACAAGTCCTGAATGCAATTTGTCCGAATGGAACAACTGGAACGTAAGACGTTTCACAAGTGGTCTCACAGAAGAGCATGACTGACCATTGATGCTAAGAGTGCCAGTAAACCAGCTAGATCAAAAAACTGGCAGAGCAAAGACAGGATGAAGTTCACTGTCTTATTAGGCTCCGTAGCAGCACAAAAATAAATCAGGGTAAAAAAATAACAAGATGTACGCATTTCAAAACAACAGAAGTGAATGTTTTTCAGCCTGTGTGTCATTAAACAGGGAAATGCATTGCTCTAGGATATTACTGAGACAAACTTTCTAGGCTAATGATAGCTACTTTCATTTAAGTTCTTTTTCTGACAAGGTTTTTATTAGCTAATGATTTCATTAGCTAACAAAATTAACTAATGATTATGCTAAAAGCTTTGGAATGAAAGAATGGAATGGAAAATAGGGCAGAAGGTCCAAAACCACAGAAACAACTACTGTCGAGTCCAAATCAACACAGGGAAATCTGGCTTCCTATGTCCATGGTGGGCTGCTGCTGCTTCACAGGCTCAAGTAAAACTTCGCCACTTTGGTCAGTTAAACAGCTGCCATGAGGAACAGTCTGATTTCTGTGACTTTGGAGGTAACATTTTAGCATTCTTGTCTGTAGATTACAGTTAGCTGCATGAAAGTTGCTTTCTTTGCTTATCATAAAGTTTTACTCCTATAAGCTCTTAGCTTAAAGTGGCACATGTTATGCATTATCAGTGGTCCCAAACTTTCTCACACCATTGACCCCTCTAGCATTGACTCAAATTTCCAGTCCTTTTATATCTCATCCAGCTCCCTACATACACTTCTTTCTAAGAAATTCAAGTCTTCAACAGGAAAACAGCAAAAAAAAAAAAAAGATGGGCAACACCACAGACATACACCATGTGTTGCACACTGCATACTCATCCCTTCCTACACTACCTGATGCCAGGTCTTCTCCATAGCAAATGTGAAGAACACACTATGGTAGATGTTTTGCAGACAAAAACATGCATTGCTGCATGGACCCCTATTCCCATCATGATTTCTTGCCATTTGAAATACAGCCCTCTACCTTAAGGCCAGACCCCACCGAAGCCTAGGGATCCCACTTGGGAATGACTCTCTTAAAGCTCTACGTAGTACAGTATATTTCTTGACATGAAAAAGGATAAAGTTCACCAGTGAGAACTTCACTGTCATTTTGTGTCTTCTTTAGAACTCAGTTACAATGGCGGAAGATAAATAAATTTATTATGAACGATTTGTATCATGGATAAATTTTATTAGATGAAAAGAGAGAGACTAATACAGTTTCATTTATTTATGTCAGTTTAGGTCAGACTGTCCAGAATTTCATTATAATTTAATACATTAATATGATCAAGGCTTCACCATTATTTCTGTTCCGTGTGGAAACCAACAAATGCACTGGTTTTAAGCAGAACAAATTTTTATGGTAAAGTAAAAACCTTAAAAGGAAGCAAGTGTTCCCAGATACCAGCAGGATGATTACAGAAGTCTAGCAGTTGGTAATTTCCCCGGAGACTGACCTGAGACTCTCGCCTGAAAGAAGTCCAACTTTCCCATATGCCCTGCCCAGATGGTAGTTGTGGAAGAGACCAGACTGACTAACGGGGCACTATAGACAAAGCAAATTATGGGAGCTGCGAGTTAGAAGAAAGCGTCTGCAGGCAGTTAAACCTTGCTGACGCTGGCTCGTACCCAGCAGGTTAGCTCAGATGCAACCAGGCTAACCAAGACCCGGGGTCAGCAGGTTCTGTCACACCTGTACCTGCCCTCTAATCTTCAGGTGACTTGAGTAAGATCAGCCAGGAAAGCCACGCAGAAGAGACAAGGAATTGAAACCTGGTCTCTTAATCAACTGGTACAACTATTTCTCTTGACCTCTCTTATACTTTGTTTGTTTTTCCTGGATGAACTATTTAAAAAAATCTATTTCAGAATATAAATTTGTGTGAATAGGTTTTTTTTCATGTTTAGTGGCATTATATGGGAGGAGAAACAAAGTAATAATAAAAAAAAGGTAAGGCTTAAACCAGCCAACTTAATACACAGGTTTCCTGACAAGAAGAGGTTTTCTGAGGCGCATTTTCACAAAGTGGCCACCTAACGACACTTTAAAACAATTCTGGTGTTCATTTTGGACTGGACATATCTCACTATCCCTCCACGCCTCCCCTCAAGCTATAAAAGTGTGGCTTGTTCTACCATGGGATACCAGACAATTTCCATCATCTATTAAACATCCTCAAAGCCACAAAACCCTTTCCCCTGAAAATTTAGCTGTGGCATTCTCTTCTTTTTTAAGCAATATGCTTCATTATTTTAACAGTCTGTTTCTTACTTTAAGAGTCATTTTATTTCACTTATACATTGATAAATCTTAGAAAGACTGGATGACAAGACAATTCCATTTCTTTTCTTAAAAAAGTATCCACGATGAGGAACAAAATAGCCTGCCATTAGCACTGAAATCCTACAATTAGAAGAAAACACCACCTATACAAAAATTTTTATAGTTTACTCCACACAACTAAAAAATCTTCTAGCTTCCTCCTAGTATTTTGTTAAAAACTTTTAGATACCAGAGTTCTAATTGCATTAATCTCTCTAACAGTCTTGGACAAATTACTTTGTATTAGGAGTTTTAAAGCTACAGAGATACCCAAGATAAGCCTGAACTAGTTGTCTTGGATTTCAGAAGCATTTACTTATCACTGCCCTGGGGGAAAAAAAATAGCTGAAGGATACTGTAATGCACAAAGCCACAGTGAGAGCTTCTTTCAGCAGCGGTAGTACTGCCTTTCATATACATAAGCAATTAACGCCTTTGAACTATGACAAAAAGCCCTTTTGCTCTGAGGCGCTTCATAAGAACATCCGTGTTGTGCAATGTAAAGCATCTAACCCTGATGTCGCAAGCTGCAGCAAGGAAAGTTCTGGCTGGATATAAAGAAAATGCTTTTCACAGTGTAAGTGGTGAAAACACCCAGCACAGGTTTCCCAGGGAGGTTGTGGACTCCTCAACCTTGGAGACATTTATAACTCACCTGCACAAAGCCCTCAGTAGCCTGAGTCCACCCTGAAGTCAGTCCAGCTTTGGGCAGGGGGTTGGACCATACGACCTCCTTCCAATCTAAATTGTCCTGTGACCCTCTCCTAGGTGATGCCATAGGCTCAGACAGATGGAAGAGGAGACTTTGATATCTATTAGCCTCCGACACATTAATGGTCAGCAAGACTTCTTGTTATTGACTGGTTTGTGCCTTTTTTCCTCTTTTGCTCCACTTTCCAAGAAAGGCATACTGAAACACAGCTTATTCTTCAAATTGTATGGAACAACAACAAAAATCAAACACCCAGTGCAACCTCTTAAAATCACTTACAGGAACTTTTGCTTAAGTACAAAACTGAATTAATCCAAGCAGAAATGTCTACTGAAGAGCAAGTTTACCTATCAGACCAGATCTTAACTGAACAGGAACAGAGAATCTGAGTATCAGAAGCAGAAGCTGCACACTCTTTGCTGATCTGTGCTACCTTTTCATGTATTCCTCCAAAGTTAACCCAACATAGCTTCCCCTGCTTTTTTGCTTAAAAAAAATCCCAAACAATGCAGCTTTCTGTGGACCTTTACCACATGCTGGTGTAACAAAATCATTACTAATAAGAAACAGCCAAAAATAGGAAGTCATAGAGGTTGCCAAATGGTATAGCACAAACCTTGTATCAAAAAGAAAGAAAGGAGCGCCCCAGGAGATGCCATGGCCTGAAGAAGGACACTTACAGCATTTAGTCCGCAGAGCTGGTAGCAGCCCATGGTGATGACCACGGTAATGACCTGCCAACGCACAGCGCGGGTTCTCAGGAGCTGAAGTACTGTCACTAACTTGGTGTTTCTTTGGACCCGAGACTCTGCCAAAACTTCTTCTACTTCATGAGACACGTCGTCTTTCCCAAGGAAGGTCTGAAATGCTACAAAGACAGGACATGTAGTTTAGTTTATAAATGCACTATGTGCATTTATAACAGACTTGTTTCATAGAAATGGAAATGTGTGACAAACAGGAGACATACATGGGCTACAACTTAATTATACTTCTGCCAACAATATCATTCTGCTCTGGGTATAATCTGGCTCATCCCTGCAATTGGTCTCAGAAACTACAACAAGAATATAAATTATTTGGCACCCTACCAAATCTCTCCTTATATTGTTTCATATATAATATAGCTGAAGGTCCAGTGCAGAGTCAAAACCCCGTGGGATCTGAAAAAAGGGTTTAACAGCAAAGCAGTTTTCAACGTTATTTGATTTGGCTACTTCTGTAGCCAGACAATATAGCAGGCTTCATTGCTATAGACAGATTGTATAGAGAAGTAATAACATGTAAAACCATATGTAAGTGGTAAACGAAGAAAAGGCAGACATTCGAAAGGAATAGCTATTATTCTTCATATCACCTCTTGTTTTTACTAGCATATAGACAACAATTCACTATGTCAACATGATTAAAATTAGAAAGAATTACCCAGAGCAGTTCAAGACTTTCTATTTGTCAATGCTGGAGACACGAGAGTGAATTTACCTGGCAAATGTAAGCAAACAACTAACATTTTCACCCCAGAAGAACACCATTTAGTATCATATTATTGCACATTAGTGACTTCCTGAGATACCCTTCTACAGTGAATAATAAAAGCTTTCCATCTCACACCTCCTCCAAGAGGTAGTACAGACAGATGGAGGTGGTGCATCTCTATCAACCTTGTTTTACAGATACCGTATACGCTGATGATACCTTCATCACAATCTTATGAACATACCCCAGGGGTTGGGTTTTTAAGAGATGTCTAAAATGCTCAGCATCTCGGAATGACTGCAGAGAAACAATTACATTACACATACCCATGCAACAAGGCTGTGCAACCCAGTAGGATGCTAACTCTAAAAACAATCCTTTACACAGCAGGTCACTTAAAATTGTTATTTTTATTAAGTGAATAACTTGACTTAGTTCTCCTAAGAGCCAAATCCATTTTTCTCTTATCCATGGCTTTGCATAATACTGCCTATAAATAAACGATCTTCGCATTTTTCAGTAACTATACGTTCTTTGGGATCATAGAAAGGACTTGGATGGTTAAGAAAGCCAGAGTCACTGACTAGTCACAATTAAAACGCCTGGACTCCATTTAGGCTTTATAGTTATAAAATTTAACTTTACCCAGTAGGTGAAAAGGCCAAGTAGTGCCATTTCAATGTTGCGAGGGAGAGGTCACACAAATAAACCGGTGGCTGCCCCGGAGCATCCTTCTCCATCCCTTTGGTGAATGTACAAAGCTGTGCGCTCTGCCTGCTCCCAGTCTGGCAGCACAGGGAATGAACTTGAGCTATTAGCCAAGATTTTCAGATGCAGTAAGCACATCTACTGCATTCTAATGGGCTCTGCGTGACCCTGCTTAACAAGAAGGATGAGTTTTTAAGGGATGAACACTGACCACCTCTGGGTGTTGAGTCAATTCATAACGTTTATTTATTCTGATATCCAGTTTCTCTCTTAGGAGAGGGGAGGTCAGAATTTTTAAATCCTTCGGAAACAGCATGAAATTTATCTTTTCACGTAGGCCTTACAATCAGGAATAGGTTAACAAATTCGGACCTCAAATCCCAGAATTTAAGCTGCTGAGTTTTGTCCTTGTGCCACCACCCACTTATTATTAAATGACATGCTAAAAGCTTGTTAAAATGAGTGTGATGTATTTGAAGACTATAATAAGAAATGTAAAATTAGAACAATGTGTTCCTATGGTATGTTACAGTCAACGTCTCACGCTTAAATTACACTTTCCTCAGTATTATTAGAGCACTGATAAAGAAAAAATTCAGATAAAGATGCAAACAACAACCAGACATATATCACCATACTCTTCTTTGATTCTCTCAGATTTTTAAGCATCTGGTTTATCAGTGTGAATTAGGTCAGTGCACAATTTTATTTATTTTTCCTGTCCTTAAAAAAGAAAGCAATCTGTCTTTTCTGCATAAGGGAGCTTGCTATGTTTCTAGAGGGACCAGGAAGTAAAAAACTGCAATTACCGAAATTACTGAGTAGAAGGCAAGAAAAATAGATACCTGCTTTCTTTTTCTTCCCTCCATGATATTAGGACCAGAGATGTAAATGCCACTAGGAAACTTCAGCAGATACTTAAAATTACCAACAAGCCAAGAAATTCTAGGAACATGCTATGCTGTATAAGCATAGTTTTGAGTAGACAAAACTCAGTCTTGGAAAAACATGTTTTCCTGCTACTCAACATATCTTTAATTTTCTTCCATTAGCAGTTTTTCAGTACAGTAAGAATCACAATTTTATACATAATTAATGCAGAAATAAATTCTGCATTAGCAGGGAGATGGGAAGACTCAAAGGCCTTTCAATGTGCGATGTTCAATTCTATTAATTTTACATTTTAAACCCCTTCATTATTGGCACTGAGAAGCCCCGCAGTCGTTCCTCGCCCCACTGCACTGACTCACTTCCCTCCCTGACTGGCTACTTCTCTCTATGGGGAAGTCTTATTTTCATGTCACGCTTAAAACCATCTAAGGAATTACAGAGTTCTAGCAACTTTCAGACCTTTTCCAGATTTCTTTTTCATTCCCTTGGATCGGAAGGTCCTAGGTGCTCGTCTTTCAAAAGCTGGCACACTGCCTTTATAAATAGCAAAAGAAGTGGATGGTTCCAGTCAGAATGGAGATAGGAAACCCTTCCGTTTACACCACCAGCTTTTAATCATCTCAGTTAAGTGAAGGTGAAACATTTGAAAGTGGTTCAAAATTCGGAATGAAATCAGGTCGGTACTGTCTTCAAAACAGTGGCTGCTTTTCTGAGCAGCAGTAGACATATGGGTGCCTCACTGTTTGCCTCAATGCTTGCAAAAAGTTCACCCAACTTCAATGCTTTTGCATTGGATATGTAGTAATTTCCCTGTAGTAACTTCATGTCAACACAAAAATATTTGGCAAAATGAAAAACCAGTTATTTTCATATACCACTGATTTTATTACAGTACCAAATAACCGAAATAATAATTTAGATGCACCTTGCCAGAAGAGATTTAAATAGCTATTTAAATCTAGCAAAATATTAATTAACTATTAGCATGTAGCATAGAAAAGTTTAAGAATAAATCTCAAATTTGCTATTCCAATTCAGTAAATGTAACTGCAAGCAAAAGGCTTTAGGCTTTTCCGATGTGTCACCTCCTTCTTCTAAGTAAAGGAACACACAGACCTTCTGTGAATTATCATCTAGTTTGGGATTACATCTTTACCTGTTCTTACATCTGCTTTAACAGACCATCAATACAAAACAGGCCTGTTCAGGTTCACTTGAAACTAGCCTGGATGTACAGGTAAAACAAAATATCCACATGCCACCCAAAAACAACACAAGAATTGGTAAATCGAGTTGTATCAAAGGACCAGTGAACCAATTATCCTTTGTAAAAGACAGGAGGTTTAAGAAAAGCTTAAAAACAAGACACACCACAATCACTCCAGCTTTTGGCAGCTGGCAACTGTCTGAGCTGGAGTCTCTGCCATAAGCCAGGAAGTGCAGTGCTCATGGCTGCCTCTTCCTTTCCCATAAGCATAGCTTATAATGCTGAGACATAAAAAAGCACAGCTAAGCAAAAAAAAAAAAAAAGTCATGTAAGTCCTTGTTATCAGCCATAACAACTTCATTTAGTCACTGAATTTGCAGCAATTTGTTCCTGCCATAATGCTGGTTTTAATGTCTCTGCTGTCCATGTGGGCCCCATGAAGGGCTCTGTAAAAGATTAGCTACATGCTTTTTAAAATTAGGAATGGTCTCACTCTTTTATCACATCAAAAGGTATCAACTCTAATGCACCTTTCTAAGAATTTAAATCTATGCTTCTCGTAACACCTGCTGTAATGCTTTTTTCGTAAGCATGGGAGTTTTAATGCATGGCTGAACATACTAGATGAATGGATTTTGTACGTCACCAACAGATATTACTGTGACATTATGTCTAAGTTATTTGACCCTTAAGACATAACAATATTCTTTTCTCTGGCAAGCTGGGATGCCAGCTGAACGCCAGTACTGATTTACATGACATGCTATTGTAGCTGCATTGAAAATTCAGATTTCTTCCTTGTCCCAGTATTCTTCAAGAGAGACGGATCAACTCTCCAATTGAGAGTGTTTATAACCAATGTAGTTAGTCATAAACCTGTTCTGTTTTATCACACTGCTACAACTGTTTTAATTTATATTGCATCATGGCCACAGTCACAGATCAGGGGTCCACTTGGCATGCAACTAATAGACAACTAATGTCAAATTCCTGTCTTACGGTCCTAGAACTTGGATGGTAACCTGCCTGATGTAGTTATAGCAGCAGGTTTTTCTTTTTCTTCCTGTTTCTATCCCTGTTACTCTTCACTCCCACTGCTCTCTAGCAACTGCATAACAGTCTCCTTCCAAAGTCATCCTCCTCAATCACTTGAATACCCATTTCTCCTCCACTGTCTGGTGAGCATTACGAAGAAGGATCACACCAGTTAAACGTCAGGCATTTTTCTCCCTTCTTTCC